CACAGTTCAAGAGCGAACACCACCTGACGAGCGACAACTACGGGGTGGCCCGCTGCGAGAGCATCAGAAAGATGATAGGTCTCTTGTCCTTCTGGGAACAGCTTCACCTCCCCGACCTCGTCGGGGTGGAGGTGGCGATGAGGCAGGCGCAGCCATACAAGTACGAATACGCCATGGAGGCCGAGGGGGATTTCCACTCAGCTCCGCAAGCGTCCGAGGGCGAGAAGAACAAGAAGTGGCTGGGACGCGGCCGGGGCCTTGCCGAGTTCGCATTTTTGGACGGGCTTCCGGCTTTTTATCGGCACGTCGCGCGAGGATGGGATGTTGGCGGCATGCCCTCATCTTCTTCGCTACGCGTCGGCGACGGCCGAGAGGGGCGCGGGCGTCCCCAAGGCGCTACGAAAGGCCGGGGAGGAGCGCCGCACCCTCACCAGGTCAATGAGAGCGACCTCGGGCGGGGACCTCCTCGACCCGTCCGAGAAGCATCAGCGGGTGACCCCAGATTCCTTGGCTTGTGCCAGTGATCTGCGTGGGGATCTCCGTTTTCTTCTTGGGAATGGTCGCCAGCGCGATATCCTTGCCCTGCCTCATCGGCTGCTTTGTGCCCCCCCTAAAATTCAGAGCGGCCCAACATTTTCTCGGGCTGCTGAGCGACGACTGCATCGGCCCTGGCACCAAGGAGGCGCGGTCAGTGAGCTGGTCGACGTCTTCAATGGGACACACCTCGGTCCGGGGGGCCCCGCTGCCCCACTTCGGCGCGGGCCTGCTCGGCGTTCGCTTGCAGTTCGCGCCGCGGCCCGCCGGGAGCTCGGGGCAGCGGCGCGCCGCATCTCGGAGAGCCAACGGCGGACCTCGAAGGCCCGGGGGCCCTCGCGGAGTTCGGGCGGGGTCCCCGGGATCCCCGCTTTCCTGCGCGACTCAGAACCCAGGGGCCCATCTGGGTCTTCTCGGAGCCCCCAGAGGCATCTTCCAAGAGCGTTTCGAAGGAGGTCTGGGGCGGGGTTCAGAGGCGGGCCCTGCCGCGCGCCAGCAGATCGCGGCTCTGACTGCGCGGCGGTCGCGGCGTCGCGCGGCGCAGGGCGCCGTCGGAGCGCGCCAGCGCGAACCGCTCTTCGCGCAACGGGCCGACCGCGCGGCGGCCGCCCGCGGCGGGAGCGGCTCCTCTGTCTGTGGCAGACCAAACGCACTGGAAGCGCGCGGCGGCGATGCCGCGCTCCAGCCCCCGCCGGGCCTCGAGGCCCAGCGCCAGGGCGCAGCGCCCGGGAGGTCGAGGTCGCCGCGCCGGGCGATCGAGAGCGATCGCCGCGTTCCAGCACTTCCAGCGCCAGCGGGGTCATGGGCGGAGGATCGCGCCCGCCCTGGGCCTGGCCCAGTCCCGCCTGGACGTCGACGGCGTCTGCGTCGGCGCCCGCGCGCTGGGGCCGCGCTCGGGGGCTCGGCGGCTTCGAACGATTTGGCGCCTCGAGCGCGAATGCTGGCCGAGACGCGCGAGCGGTTCTTTGGGGCTCGGCGGGGGAAAAGGCGCTGGGGAGCCGTTCGCGGCCCGGGCCTTCGCGGGCGCCCCCCCGGGCCTGAAGCGCCGCGGCCTGCCGGGGGCCGCCCGGGCAGCTCGGGGTCGGCGACGGCCGGCGCCTCCTCGCTCGAGGTCGCCGGTCGTCGGGGAGTTGGTCGCCGTGCGAGCACGCGAGCGCGGAGCTGACCGCCGCGGCGTTCGCTCTGCGTCCGAGGCCGTCGGAGGCGCCGCCGCTGTCCGCCGACGGCCCGGCGCCGCGGCTTGGGCGTTTCGCGGGCGCCCAGAGGAGCGCGGGGCGCGATCCTCCGCCCGCGGGAGGCAGGCGCGCCCGGCAAGATGGGGGGGCCCGCCTTCCTTTGACCGCCGGGCCTCTTCGAGGCGCGGTTGCGCCCGCGGGCTCGCGGAGCCCGGCGGTTCGACGCGCCGCGCGGCGAGCAGGGCGGCGGGTTCGCGGCCGCCGCGAGGGCGACCGGGCAGCGGCGCCGCCTGCGACCTTGCTCCAGATGCGCCTCGGCGGCGCAGTCCGCGAGCTGCAGGCGCGGGCCCGCTCGCGGGAGGAGGTCGAGGCGCGGGGGGGGAACCCGCCGACCGGGCCGCCCGCCGTCGCGCCAACGGCGGGCGCATCCTGGAGAAAAGCTGAACACATTGTCCCAGGCCACCCAGGACATCGCCCAAAGGTGCATGGACGCAATTGGCGCCATCCTTCGCGCGAGTGAGCCAGGTGCGCGTCGGCTGGCGACGTTGGAGGCGCCCAGTGACAGTGGGGGCCTTTCAAGAGCAACGCGGTTGTATTCCCGAGGAATTTTCGCCAGCTTTGTTTTTGACATAATGCGCGGCCCGTCGGTCAGTGTGCCCACTCGTCGGGTTCAGTGTTCGATCCGAACATGGGTGGGGGGCGGCATGGTGCTGGGCGTTTGCTTGACGGCTCCGCGTCAGTCAATGTCGCGTGCTCGCAACCGACCAGAAGAAACACCGTTTCTTCGCAATGCCGAGTTCCCCCGAGGCCCGCGCGCTCCGGGGCGCCATTTCAGCGTCGGTTTCTCTTCAGGAAGAAAAAACACAGACATTATGAATCGTCGATTTCCTGGAAAATTTGCGAAAATATCCCAGATCTTGGGATTTGTGTGTATTAATTTGCGCGTTTGTGGGCACCTTCTTCTTTTCCCTTTGCAGAACCCTCGAGGTCCCTGGGGCGTTCGAAAACCTTCCAGCCCGCGGATGTGAAGCCCCCCATGGGGCCCAAGCTGTCGCCCGCGCTTGCAATGTCAGAAACATAGATCCTTATCTTGGCAGTTTCGGGATGCCCCGGAGTCGGGGGAAACACTCCAGGCTGCGCTTCTGAGGCCTCGACTTGAGTGGCCTCGAAGGGGCCCGCTGCAAGGGTCGAGGGGTTTGCAGTTTTTCGGGGGGTCGCCGCCCAAGAGTAGTCCGCGGGGGCATATGCCGATGTGTCTTCTGCAGGTTTCTTTCTCTGCACATGACATGCTTGGCCGAAAATCGGAGTTTCCCTCCGGCGACGCCTCGGCGGCCAAGCTTCGGGCCCCGCCGCTCCGGGCCAGGCAGGCCCCCGTCCCCCGCGCAGAGGGCCTTGCCACCGTAGAGCTCACGCAGGGGTCTTCCTGTGCTCCTGTGGGTAGTCTTCGTGGCCCCATGTTAGCCACCTTAGCTTACCTGCTTACCTCCCTCCCCCATTCACTCCTCTTCCTCCGCCTTCCCCGGCGGTTTTCCTGGAAGGGTCCTCCGCCTTCCTGCTGTTTTCGGAGAGGGGTGCTTTTCCCTCCGCCTTCTCCTTTTGTTTTCCTGTTTTCCTTTCCCTCCGCTTTTTCCGCCTCCCTTCGCAGGGGTCCTGCTGTTTTCCTGGAGGTACGCTTTGTGACCCCCAGGCGCCCTTATGGTAGGTGCATGCGGCGATGGCGCGCCGGCGACGCCAGCGAAGGCGTCCAAAATTGAACTCCGCATGACAGAACGGCGCGGAACCATTGAGGCGCACGGTCATGCCACAGGACCCGACGGAAGTCAATTTTGAACGATCGGGGCCGCGATGAACAATCGACGCGGTGTCAAAATTCTTTGCTCGCGCCGACACCGTACGGTCTCACCATACATTAGTTTACTTACTTCCTCCCTCACTCACTCCTCTTCCTCTCCTTCCGCCTTCTCCTGCTGATTCAGTCGTTGCGTGTGTTTCCTGCCAAATGTCTTGTTCCCCCAGCCCTGGCCCCCTCATTTACACTCCGGGTCGTCGTTGCCGTCATGGATCTTTTTTTCCCCACCCTCCGAGGGATCACTCCTATCTCCGCTCTCTCTTTCCCTCTCTCTCTCTCTGTCTCTCTTTCTCTCCCTCTCTGTTGTTGTTGTTGTTCTCTCTCTCTCTCCATTTCTCTCTCTCTCTCTCTATCTATATGTTTCTCTCTTTCTCTCTCTCTCTCTCTCTCTTTCTCCTCCCTCTCCCTCCTAGCTCTCTTTCATTTTTCTTCAGTATCCGCGTAAGTCGTCCTTCGCCTCCTACTCCACGTCGGAAGTCCTGCTCCTCCTCCTCCTCCTCCTACTACTACTCCTCTTCCTCCTCCTCCTCCTTCTCTTTCTCCCTCCATCCCTCCCTCCCCGATGCAGCCCCCCCCCCCGTTTTTCTCGCATACTTCTCGTGAAGTTGTCGTTTCTTGGTGTTCCTCCGTTCATGCTCGCTGTTGACGCACAGCGGTCCTACGTAAAATCAATATCAGGAGGTAGCGGAACATCGGAGTACTATTATTTGATGCCGTTGTCAAATGTTTTCAATGTGGTAGAGAGAGTCATGGGACCGACATCGAGCCAGTATGTTGTAGCTATGTTATGTTGGGCGGAGCCCGAGAGTGTCTCCGCGAGGCAAATTGACTAACCGTCTCAGGCGTGATGGTCGTATCGGGCGCGATGGTTTCAGCCAGGCCTCCTGGAGATTTGTTAGTGCTGTCTTAGGGTTGTCGGGCAGGTTCTTGGCATTGTCTTTGGAACGTCTTGGCCCAATCTTGGCCAGTTTTGGGGTGCCCTGGGGGCACCCTGTAGGGGTCTCGGGTTGTCTTGGGGCCGTTTTCGATTATTGGCGGTCTTGGGGCCTTGGGAACGCTTGGGGTAGGATGAGGAAGAGGATCGCCAGGGGGATGAGGATAGGCACGAAGGATGAGAGGAAACGGAGAGTGGGAGGAGGAGAAGGGAGGATGTAAGGGGATACAAATACGGAGGAGGAGGCGGAGGATGATGAGAAGGAGGAGGAGGAGGAGGAGGCAGAGAAAAGAGGACAGGATGGGGAGTGGGGTGACGAGGGGGTGACGAGAGGGGATGAGGAGGAGGAGGATCAGGGACTGGGAGGGGTGAGTAAGGAGGAGGAGGAGGAGGGGAGGAGGAGGAGGAGGAGGAGGAGGAGGAGGAGGAGGAGAGGGAGGAGGCGGAGGAGGCGGAGGACGGCAACGACATCGAATTGCGACGAGGACGCCGACGCCGACGGCAGATTGCCGGCTCGAGAGGTCGGACGCCCGGCGGGGCCCCGGCCGGTGCGAGCGCCCAATCGGGGAGCGAAGAATGGCATAAACATAAATACCCGTAGGTCCGCGCGGATTTCTCGGATCGGCGCTGGACCCCTCTCCCTGGTGCGCGGAGCGCGCCAGGGGCGGCGCCGGAGGCGCCGCCGGGAGGGTCCCAGCGCCGATCCGAGAACTCCGCGCGGACACTCGAGTTCTCTATGTTTATGTCATTCTTCGTCCCCCTGCTCCGAGTTTCTTAACAAGCGTCGGGGGGGCGTCCCCCCGCCGACCGCCCCACATCGACCCCCGCCGCGGGCAGCCACCGCGCGCCGAGGGCGCTCCGCACCCCTTCGCGGCGCGTCGACGAGGCGAGGCTGACCCCTTTCGGGGGGATACCCCCCCACGCTTTTTTAGAAACCCAGAGTGCCCATGGCCGTGGTCCTGGGAGGCGCTCCTCCTCCTCCTCCTCCTCCTCCTCCTCCTCCTCCTCAGCACGCGCAGCCCCTCGCCCGGTGGAGCGGAGGGCCGCCTCGGAGGTCTGGCGGAGGCCTCTGGGGAGGCGAGGGCGTGCCGCGGCGCCGGGGGCCCTCCCGGGAGGCCTCGCCGAGGGGGGCCTTGCGAGGGGCCCTGCAGAGCTCCCCAGAGGCCCCCAAGAGGCCCCAATCGAAGAATAACAAAATCCACATAAACATAAACTTGTGGCGCTCCGCGCAGATTTCTTGGATCCGTGCCTGGGCGAGGCCCTCCAGAGCTTCCCGCTCTCCGTCTCCCTCTTCCCCGCAGCGTCCTTCCTCTTTTCTTCCCTCATCTGCATCTCACATTCACTCCTCACTCCGCCCCCCCTCCGCCCGCCTCACCCAGCATCCTGCCCCAGTATGTGGTAGGAGGCCACGCTTGGCAACAAAAAGGGATATCCTCAAATCCATGTTTTTTTTCAAGGTCGCCCCCCGCCTCCGTGTCCTCTTGTCCCCGGTTTTGGTGTGCCCCAGAGTTTGTTTCCGTTTTCCCTACCCTTCGTTGTCCGTATTCCTTGCTCTTCCTCTCTCTCTCTCTCTCCTGCTCTTGGTTCTCCGTCTCCCGTTCCACATCCTTCCCCTTCCTCTCCTCCTCCATCCTCCCCACTGCGTTATATTCCTTCTCCCTCCTGCTCGTGTCTGCTTCACGCCTTCTTATCTCCGCCTCCCTCATGCCTTCCCGTCTTCCCCATCCCTAGTCCTCATGTCCTCATCTCTCATTCATTCCTTTCTCCACCTCCCTCGCACGGCATCCTGCCCGGGCCCCTGCTGTGTGGCAGGAACCCAGCTTGAGAACATGGAATTCCCCCACACCATTTTTTTTCAAGGTCGACCCACCCCTCCCTCCGCTTCACCTGTCCCGGGCTTTGGCGTACCCCCTGGGTGCGTTTCCGTCTTCCCCCATCTTCTGATTCTTGTTCCTCCACTCCTCTGGTCGTCTCTGCGTGTCCTTATTCCTCATGGCGTCCGGTCCTCAGTGGGTCCTATTTCACCACATAATTATGGTTCCACCGCAACTCGGTTTGTGCATAGCTATAACAGAATAGCCTAATCGCGCGAAGCGCGCGAGTGGCTCTTTTTTTGCACATATACACATATACATTATATATACATATAACGGCGCACCGGGTCCGGGGGCCCGGGGCCGGGACCTCGACCACAAATGTGCACCCAGGGGGGCCCGGAGGCTCGTCGGGGCTTGCCGGAGGCCTCCCCAGTCAGACAAGACGGCCCAAGAAGCGCCCAAGACGGCCCAAGAAACTTCCAAGAGGCCTCCAAGAGGGCTCCGAGATGCTGAAGATGGCCTCCAGACGTCCAAGGAGGCCCCCAAGAGGCCCCAAGAAGCCTCCAACATGCGTCCCAAGAGGGCCCCTAGACGCAAAAATTGGCCCATTCCCTTCGTAAAACGTACATTTTCAACAAAGTTGTCTTTTGGGTTTTCCGACGTTACAGGACGGCCCAAGAGGCGCCCAAGACCGCCCCAAGACGGCCCAAGAAGCTTCCAAGAGGGCCCCAGGACAGCCCAAGAGGGCCCCAAGACGGCCCAAGAGGCGCCCAAGATGGCCCAAGAGGGCCCCAAGACGGGCCCAAGAGGGGGCCCAGAGGGGGACCACGAACCGCAAGCTCGAGCCTTCCGCCCCAAGAGGCCGCCAGGAGGCCCCCAGGAGGCCCCTCAAGAGGCCCCAGGAGACCCCAGACGTCCAAGGACGCCCCCAAGAGGCCCCAAGAAGCCTCCAACATGCGTCCCAAGAGGGCCCCTAGACGCAAGAATTGGCCCATTCCCTTCGTAAAACGTACATTTTTAACAAAGTCGCCTTTTGGGCTTTCCGACGTTACAGGACGGCCCAAGAGGCGCCCAAGACCGCCCCAAGACCGCCCAAGAAGTTTCCCAGAGGGCCCCAGGACAGCCCAAGAGGGCCCCAAGACGGCCCAAGAGGCGCCCAAGATGGCCCAAGAGGGCCCCAAGACGGGCCCAAGAGGGGGCCCAGAGGGGGACCACGAACCGCAAGCTCGAGCCTTCCGCCCCAAGAGGCCGCCAGGAGGCCCCCAGGAGGCCCCTCAAGAGGCCCCAGGAGACCCCAGACGTCCAAGGACGCCCCCAAGAGGCCCCAAGAAGCCTCCAACATGCGTCCCAAGAGGGCCCCTAGACGCAAAAATTGGCCCATTCCCTTCGTAAAACGTACATTTTCAACAAAGTTGTCTTTTGGGTTTTCCGACGTTACAGGACGGCCCAAGAGGCGCCCAAGACCGCCCCAAGACGGCCCAAGAAGCTTCCAAGAGGGCCCCAGGACAGCCCAAGAGGGCCCCAAGACGGCCCAAGAGGCGCCCAAGATGGCCCAAGAGGGCCCCAAGACGGGCCCAAGAGGGGGCCCAGAGGGGGACCACGAACCGCAAGCTCGAGCCTTCCGCCCCAAGAGGCCGCCAGGAGGCCATCAGGAGGCCCCTCAAGAGGCCCCAGGAGACCCCCAAGAGGCCCAAAGGCGGCCCAAGGACAGCCCAAGAGGGCCCCAAGACGGCCCAAGAGGCGCCCAAGATGGCCCAAGAGGGCCCCAAGACGGGCCCAAGAGGGGGCCCAGAGGGGGACCACGAACCGCAAGCTCGAGCCTTCCGCCCCAAGAGGCCGCCAGGAGGCCCCCAGGAGGCCCCTCAAGAGGCCCCAGGAGACCCCAGACGTCCAAGGACGCCCCCACGACGCTTCGCGTCACCAATTTCTTCTCACAACGGTTCCTGGGTCTGTGACTCGACAGAACCTAAGCGCGCGCCAAGCGCGCGCGTGGTTCTAGTATATATATATAGAGAGAGAGAGAGAGAGAGAGAGAGAGAGAGAGAGAGAGAGAGAGAGAGAGAAATGTATATAAAATTGCCCCCCCTCCCGGCCTGGGCGGGCGCACCCCCCGCAACCATCGGGAGTAGCCCGCTGATACTCCCCCCGTTGCGCTCCCCAGAGGCGGCCCGGAGAGGCCAAGAGGGTGCCAAGACGAGCCAAGAGGATTCCAAGAGGCCCCCTTGCTGCTGCCGACTGGGAGGCTCGAGGGCCCCTCCAGGAGCTGGAGCTTCACATTTTTCACTGCACCTCTCTCCGTCCCCTTCCTGTTTACACTGCGGCACAATGCCTTCGCGTGAGGTGAGGCGCCACTGTGATGACAGCAACCCTTTCTCTTCGGACGGGTCGAAGAGTCGTTCGAGTCGCGATTGCTCCAGACCGCATGAGGCCAAATCTTCGGCACCGAAAGTGTCATCGGATGAAAAGATCGACCTCGTCCTCAGCTCGTTGCAGGGCCTGCCAGTGATGTGGCCAAGATCAAAAAATAGATTTTACACGGTTGCGCTGCGACCAGCTCGCGGCGACGATGCAGACCATGGGGAATGACATTCACTCGCGGGCCACGCAGTTGGAGGGTGAGCATTCAGCAGCTTTCGTAGACCTGAAGAACTCGATTGAGCTCATGCACTCTCGGTTATGCACGCTCGAGAGCACTCCCACACCGCGTGCGATGTCCGATTCGGGTTCTTCTATTACCTCGAGCGTTCAGCAGAAAATCGTTGATGTCGTGTCGGAACGTGCGCAGATAACCTCGTCTCCCAGCGCTCCCCGCTTTCCTCTTCATACTCATGCTGCTCATGCCGAACGCGGGCAGGACGATGCTATCAAACTTCTAATGTTTGGGTCCCTCGGCGCCTGTTGGCTAGTGCGCTTCGTAGTGTTGGCGAGGCAGTTCGCGCGAAATACGCCCCCACCAGCGCGCAGAATAACATCGCGGAATACGTCCCCACTGTGCACTAGTGCGAAGGCGTTTGATCTCATTCGAAAATTGGCGCTGCAGTTCGAATTCTGATGCCGGCAACGTTTTGGCCCACCATGAAGTGGATGGCGAGCTTGTGCATTTTGATCCGCTTGCGACGGAACCGCTCAAGCTACGTGTTCGCAGAGATGTGGATTCAAGAAGCCGCTTCCTCTTCCTGAGCATGGGCCGCCTTCGGGCCGCTATGATGCAACTCTTGCAGCCTCGCGGGTATTCGGTCAACAGTAACGGGTCCGGCGGCATCATCTATGTTTTTTTCTTGTCCCCCGGGCAAACTTGAGGCTGAGTGAAGACGCCGCCCGTGTTGATCTCGACCTTGGGTTCGACGCCCTGCAGGAACGCGTCAACCATCAGCATGTGGATTCGTTCCGCGAGACGGCCGGTGTCCAGATGAAGTCGCCCTTTCGCGGCTGAAGCATGCAATATGTTGCCTGATTTGCCCCCCCCCCCCCTCCCTGCCTGTTTCCTCCGCGCGTGCAGTTGGCGACATTGGCGATGGCAGTTTTACTTCCCGCCCAAATTTGATTCCCTTCTCCCCACGTGCGCCTTTCTCTGTTTGCAGTTGGAACGCTCACGGGCTCTTTAGCAGCGCTAGCAACTCTTGCTGGCGCTCGAGTGCCAGGTGCCTGTCTTTCCTCTCTCTCTCTCTCTCTCTCTCTCTCTCTCTCTCTCTCTCTCTCTCTCTCTCTCTCTCTTCTTTTCTTTCTTTCTTTCTTTCTTTCTCTTTCTTTCTTTCTTTCTTTCTTTCTTTCTTTTTTTTTTTTTTCTTCTCTCTCTCTCTCTCTCTCTCTCTCTCTCTCTCTCTCTCTCTCTCTCTCTCTCTCTCTCTCTCTCTCTCTCTCTCCCTCTCTCTCTCTCCTCATTTTTTTTTGTTTTTTTTTTTTTTTTTCTCTCTCTCTCTCTCTCTCTCTCTCTCTCTCTCTCTATCCTTCTCTCTCGCTCTCTTCCGTAAATTCCAGATCGCTCGTGGCCAGGAGACGCGCGGTCATTGCGGTGATATCGGAGAGTTCCTCAGGGAGCTGGATGGGCCCCGTCTCGGGCACAACATCGGTTTCTCGGTTTTCGAGGGCTCCCAGACAGAAGGTGGCGTGGTCGCTGTCTTGGGTCCGTGGATTACTGAGTTATTCCCTTCTAGTCGTTCACCGAGAAATTCTAACCCGTCGCGTTTTGCAGACTATCTGCGAAGGCCCCCTCTGGACACCTGACGACTTGCAATCTGCGCTTGCCGAGCGCGAGTGACGCGCTCGCGACGTGCGCTGTCGTTCTGAAGAGACCGCGCGCGCTGCCGTGGATGCTGCGCAAGGCTCTCGCTGTCTGTTGCTGTGAGATTTCAATTTCGCCATTGGGGGGGGGGGGAGTTCAGGGTGGCGGCAGCTGGCTGCCTGGGGGTCAGGCGCAGTCCAAGCTATTTTACACAGTTCGCCCTTCGGTCAGCGAGCGCCATATTTAACGCAGCCCTGGAGGATATCATTGCTGAGGTCAAGCCAGCTTGGGAAAAGAAGTCTTGGGGGCTGAGAATGGGTTACAGCCAGCGCCGGCAGCTTACCAACCTACGCTTCGCAGATGACGTTTTGCTCATTGGAACGTCCTTGCGTCAACTCAATATCATGTTAAATGATCTACAGAGGGCAGCTCAAACACGTGGATTGCTATTCCACCCAGACAAGACGAAAATCTTGACGAACGCAACCAAAGGCACCGGGCGCCCAAGAACATCGCACGTTCAAGTTGGAGACATGAACATTGAGATTATGCCGTGCGAGGAGAAAACGAAGTACTTGGGAAGGGAGTTATGCTTTGATCGGCCACACGACGTTGAAATTGATCACCGGATCAACATGGCATGGGAGAGTTTTATGGCGCAGCGTGCAGAACTGGTAAATACTACGTATTCTCTGAATACTCGTTTGAAGCTTTTTGACGCCACGGTGTCCAACTTTCTCTTGCGCGGCAGTGCAACGCGGGTGCTGACGCAGGAGCTGACTGACAAGTTGCGCCGGGTGCAGCGGAAGATGCTGCGCATGATTTACGGTAGTCGTCGCCTGCCGGCGCCCGCATGTGTTCCACCTATTTGGACCTATTCCCACGTCATCACCAGAATCCGTGCCATCATATGAGTCGGCATCTGATCGTGCTCCTGTTTTGGAACCATTGGCAGAATGGTGTCAGAGAACCACTCGCGAGGTCGAGGAAAGATGCAGGCGACTCGGCGTTCGTGGCTGGATTGAAAGCCACAGGTCTGCAGCAACACAATGGTACAGAAAGATGCAAGAGGCGGCAGACAGCTGGGCTCACCGTGCATTCATATGGGAACCTCTTGGGCTGACGAGGCGGTCACACAGACCGAAAAAGAGGTGGATCGACGCCGTGCTAACGTACATCTGAGGGCCGGAGCCGAGGCTCCGCCGCGCCTCCCGCGTTGGGGCGGCTTCCGGGCCGGTGGGCGCGCGCGCGCGCGCGTGTGTGTCAGCGAGCGCCACCAGGGAGATGGCGCGCGGAGGGATGTCGGGAGCGGGGTCATTAAGTGCACGTCTTGCTTGAACCGCATCTATTCATCTGTTCATCTATTCCACTTTGAGGGATTATCATATCCGCGGAGGCGCGATGGCCCGTCTCGAGGCCAAAACTCCGAGCGACCACATTCTTGTTTTTGCCATCTCGTCGCCGTTCCCCCCTCCCATTCAGCGCCCTGCGATCCCCAAACGCATTGCTTGTCATCCCGCGTTTGCTCCTCAGCTCGAATCTTTTTTCGCCGAGATTGATGTTGGCGCACCGGGCGCCTCCGAACGGGGCCGACTGGAGGCTGTCAAGGTGCTTATGTTTGTGTCTGCCCAGCGCGTTCGCTCGGTTCTGCAGTTGCTTCCAGCCGGTACGCTTGGGCTTAAGCACCATTTGGCGATGCGTGTTTTTTCGGGGTGTGCGGATGGGGAAGGTGTGCATGGTGGTTGCTGCTCTTAAGTCGCATCCTGCGCTTCGTGATCATTTTCATGACACTTCAGACGCGTGCAAGAATATGAGTGGCCTCTGTTCGATGGTTCGTTCGATCCAGATGCAGCTTCTTGAGCGGGAAGCGGTGGGGATTGAGCGTTCGGATGCACCCGAGTCCACTATGAAAAAAAATGTCTCCCCGTGTTCAGCGTTACCAAGCACTTTGGAGGCGTTTTCGCAGCCGCACCTATATTGTTTGTATATACGATGAGACGGGGTCGCCCTGTGAGTCCCTCGAGCGCCCCGCGGAGGTTTTGCAGGCCCACTGGTCCCGTGTTTTTGCCCCCAAAGAACTTAATTGTAGCAGATGGCCTGAGGTGTCCGACCATATCCAGAAGCTCCCCGATGTCCCCCCGATGTAATGACAATTTCCATCGATTCAGTTTTACGAGTATGTATGCGCTCGCTGCCGTAGAAGGCCTGGGCCTGACGGCATCCCTCAAGCCACGTGGAAAGCGCCTTATGTTCCCCTCGATCCTCCCTTCGATCCCGCTCGATCCTCCTCGCTCCTCACCTCGACCCTCGCCGATCCTCCGTCCAGAGTCGCCTTCCGCATTCGTTTTGGGATGTTTGAGGGGGGGGGGGCCCTGGGCCAGGAGGCGCCCGAGAGGCCCCTGCAGGGGCCCCAAGGGAAGGCCTCCAGGAGGCACGAGAAAAGGGACCCCAGATGGCCATTTTTTTCCTGCTCCTCGTCCTCCACCTCTCTCGCTCTCTCTCGGTCTCTCTCTCTCTCTCTCTCTCTCTCTCTCTCTCTCTCTCTCTCTCTCTCTATATATATATATATATATATATATCCCTCCCCTCCCTCCCTCCCTCCCTCCTCCCTGATCCCTCCCTCCCTCCTCCCTGATCCCTCTTTCCTCTTCTCTCTTCCCTCTTCCCTCCTCTCCATTCCTCACCCTGGCGGTCGCATGTAAACATAAGTTGCTCATTTTTCTATATAACGCATACGTGTGTGAGGCACGTGTTGGTTGAGACCCCAGGCAAAAGGCGTGCGTGGCATAGCCCGAATGGCGGCTCGGGCAGTAACGGGGCACGTGCACCTCGCGCGTGCCCGTTCCCCAGTGGCTGGTTCTCGCAGTTGCGAGAGAGCTTGCCCCATCGCCAAGTGGCGGGACGTTTATGCGCCAGCGCAAATGCGCATGCCTGTTCCTCCTCCTCCTCCTCCTCCGCCCTCCTCTCCCTCCTCTCCCTCCTCCCTTTTCCCCTCCTCCCAGCCTCCCTTCATCCACGTCCTCCCTCCTCCTCCTCCTCGTCCTCCTCCGCATCTTCTGAGGTCCTCCTTCTCCTCTTCCTCCTCCTCCTCCCTTCTCCTTCTTCTCCTGCACCTCCTCCTCCTCCCTCCTCGTCTCTTCTCTCCTCCTCCTCCTCATTATCCTCCTCCCCCATCCCTTTTCCTTGAACATAGTTTCTCCCTGTCGCACCCCGAGACTTGTTTTTTAGGCCTGAAACCGTCTCACCACTTGTGACACTGAGGCTTAAACGTTGGCCACAGTTTCACAGATGGAGGCCCTAAGGGCTCAGGGCGGGTCGTTTTCAAAATGCCGCTATCGCCTTAGCGCCGCGCACGTTCGTTTTAACAAGTTGTAAGAGTTTCACGGATTGAGGGCGAGTGGTTTTCAATAGGTTGGTCTCACTTTAGCGCCGCGCACATTCGTTTTACACATTGCAAACGTTTCACGGGTCGAGGGCGGGTGGTGTTTCAAATGGTGGTTCTCGTTTTAACGCAGCGTGCATTCGTTTTACAAGTTTTGCATGAGTTGCACGGGTTGAGGGCGGTTCATGTTCAACATGTGGTTCTCGCGTCAGCTCCGCGCACATTCGTTTATCACATTTGGAAGAGTTTCACGGAGTCCCATGATCAGCGTACCAGAAATATTGTGTTGGAGAGATTCTGGTTTATGCGGGTGCAACGGTTGCGTTGATTCGCGGTGTTGAAGTCCCAGGAATAGCGTTTTGGCGTGATTCTGGATCGTCCAGGCGCAACAGTCAGGTTGATCCGTGGCGTTGTACTCCCGAGCGCAAAGTCTTGGCATTCAGAGTCTTCAAACGGTTGTTTTCCGACGAGACAGCTCCTTCAGAGGAACTGAACCGTTGTATGGGGCCCCATGTAGGGGCGTCCTCCAACATCGTGGATGATTCTTGGGTTTGCACTGGTCCTCCTCCTCCTCCTCCGCTCTCCTCCTCCTCCTCCTCCTCGTTTTCCTTCTCCTCCTCCTCTTCCTCCTCCTCCTCCTCCTACTACTACTCTGGGGGGCGATCGGCGCCCAGGCTGCGGAGCGTGGGGGCCGAGCGGCGGCGACTTCGGGATGCCGCGGTGCCACGACGAGCGGCCGCCTCGGCTCGCCGCCGCCGCCGTCGGCGCGGCTCCCCCCCCCATCCTGCTCTTGGCGCCCCCCCCTCCTGGTCCTCCTCCTCCTCGGCCTCGTCCTTCTCTCCCTCCCCGCCGCCCGGGGGTTGGGGGAGGAGGAGGAGGAGGAGGAGGAGGAGGAGGAGGAGGAGAAGGGAGGACGACGAGGGCGAGGAGGAGGGCGAGGAAGAAGGAGGATGATGCTGAGGAGTAGGAGGAGGAGGAGGAGGAGGAGGGAGAGGAGGAGGAGGAGGAGAAGGAGGAGGAGGAGGCAAGCTAGGTGCGCTCGCGTCATATCTGTCGTCATACTCCTCCCTCCCAACCATTTCCATAAGATCTCCTCTTTATGTGCACAAGAGGATGTCGAGCAAGGCAATGATCCTGAGAAGGTTTGCGATGCAAGGTAAAGCACGGCACAGCATGGTGTAGAGGAGCGCCACAGAGCAGAGCATGTCATAGCATGGCTTGGCATTGTGTAGTGTAACATCGCATCACAAAGCGTAGCATCGCAAAGCATGGCATCGCACAGCGGAACACAACGCAACATCGCATTGCATGCCATGGCATGGCACCGGATACTTTGGAAGGTAAACGGCCCGTGTACGAAAGGAGAAGGCCTGTCCGGAATCCCGGCTACATGTCTTGCGCAACCGTGCTTGCCCGATATGGGCGATTTCGAATGCCAGGTGCCGTTTGGAACTGTAATAGTGTAAGGACCCCCCTTCTTTCGACACGCTGCCTTGCATTCCCGAGCCCTTCCAAGTCTCCCTGGGTTTCCTGGACAGTTCTGCGCGAGGCGAGGCGGATGGCCCGACGACTTCTGGAAGTTCTAGGGACGCACAGAAATAGCCGACGGCGACAACAACGCAGACGACGACGGCAGCGGCGGCGGGGGAAGCTGCAGAGGGCGAGGATGGATGTCAGGGAAAGGTACAGCGGGCTGCCAGGCTCGATGGTCTGGCTTCCTTGAACAATTGGCTCACACTGGGCCTCTGGGCCTCTCACGGGGTCCAGTCGGATCGGCGTTTTCCAGCCAGATCATTTTTGAGGTCCCCGGGGCCTGACGAAGGGGGGGGGTCTGCGGCCCCAAAAACGAAACATTAAACGAATCGACACCGAATGCGTAATCACTTCTGCTTTTTTTTCGGTGGGCATATTTTTTTTTAGATTTTGGGGCCTACTCGGAAGGACCGAAAACCATGCCGTGGCATGGCGCTGGAAATAATGACGCCAGCGCTGCAGCGGGAGCACGATTCGGAAAGAGCGGAAGCGCGGAGATGAGGCCAGCGCTGCAGCGTGAGCACGAATCGGAGGACGCGTAGCTCGACATAGCATGGCGTGGCGACGCCCCCAAATGGAGGGGGGGTTATGCGGCCCAACAAGTCGACGAGTCGGCACCGACTGTGTAACCCTTTCCGATGTTTTTGTTCGGGGGGCAATGTTTAGATTGTGGGGCCTATTTGGAAGGACCGAAAACCATACCGTGGCATGGCGTTGGAAATAATGATGCCAGCGTTGCAGCGGGAGCACGATTCGGAATGAGCGGAAGCACGGAAATGAGGCCGGCGCTACAGCGGGAGCACGATTCGGAACGAGCGGTAGCCCGAAAATGATGCCAGCGCTTCAGCCACAGAAGCATCTTGTCAAACAACCAAGCGAAAACCCGTTACTTGGGAATCCTGTGTGTAAAAAACAAGTACGCGGAGGGGGCGGATATCTCCCGGACGTCACCAGGGGATAGAGGAGAAAGGTATTGATATTGTGTAATTGTAGGAGGGGGCGAGGAGGACGAGGAGGACGAGGAGGAGACGAGCAAGACAAGGAGGACGAGGAGGACGAGGGGGAGGAGGAGGAGGAGGAGGAGGAGGAGGAGGAGGAGGAGGAGGAGGAGGAGGAGGAGGAGGAGGAAGGGGGAGGAGGAGGAGGAGGTGGAGGAGGAAAAGGAGGAGGAAGAGGAGGAGGATGACAAAGAGGGAGGAGGAGGAGGGAGGAGGAGGGAGGAGAGGAGGAGGAGGGAGAGGGAGGAAGGAGGAGGGAGAGGGAGAAGGGAGGAGGGAGGAGGGAGGAGGGAGGGAGGGACGGGACGAGCAAGGGAGGGCGGGAGGGAGGGCGGATGAGGAGGACGACGAGGAGGAGGAGGAGGACGAGGAGTAGGACGAGGAGGAGAAGATGACGAGAAGGAGGAGGAGGAGGAGGACGAGGAGGAGGACTAGGGAGAGGAGGACGAGATGGAAGACGAGGAGGAGGACGAGGAGGAGGCTTGGAGGAGCAACGAGGAGCAGGACGAGGAGGAGGGAGGAGGAGAGGAGGAGGAGGAGGAAGAGGAGGAGGAGGGAGGAGGAGGAGGAGCAGGAGGAAGAAAAGGAGGAGGAGGAGAAGGAGGACTAGGAGGAGGATCAGAAGGAGGGAGAAGGAGGAGGGGGAGGAGGAGGAGGAGGAGGAGGAGAGGAGGAGGAGAAAAAGGAGGAGGAGGAGGAGGACGAGGAGGACATGGAGGAGGACGACGAGGACGAGGAGGGCGAGGAGGAAAGTAGGACGAGGAGGACGAGGGAGGACGATGAGCACGAGGAGGAGGAGGAGGAGGAGAGGATGAAAAAAGGAGGAAAGAGGAGGAAGATGAGGAGGAGGAGGAGGAGGAGGAAGAGGAGGAGATGAGATGAGGAGGAGGAGGAGGAGGAGCACGAGGAGGAGGAGGAGAGGAGGAAGAAGAGCAGGAGGAGGGAGGAGGCAGGTGGTTGGAGGGAGGAGGGGAGGCACAGCGAAGAAACAGAGAGGGATCAGGAAGGCGAGTGCGGAGGTGGGGGCGGGGGTCGGGGCGGGGGCGGAGACGGACCAGCGGGGGAGGGGAAAGGTACGAACATAGGTTGACAAGGGCCAGGTGGAGGCGAATTGCCAGGCGGATGGGGATGCGAGATGGAGGTGGAGGAGTCAGAGGACGACGAGGATGAGGAGGAACACCAGGAGGGAGGAGGAGGAGGAGAAGGAGGAAGAGGAGGAGGAGGAGGAGGAGGAGGAATAAGAGTAGGAGTAAGAGCAAGAGTCCCAGGACGGATGTCCAAACGAAGTGTTTAAAAGTGGAGCCCCGTTTGTGCTCTGGAGGCTTTCTGGGTCTGACTGTAGACTTTTGGCCACATGTATTCGCGAACTTGGGCAAGGTATTCAGCTCTGGTCGGGGTAGCCTTACGAGCACACGCCTTCCCCAACCCCAAGAGCTGCTGATCAGCAAACGTGCCACACATACGCACACTGCACAGAACCACACATCAACAGACTGGTTATATCACATCTTGTGAGACCCGTGCGCCCACCCCCCAGCGATGTGCAACTCCGCCCCCTGGCCCTCAACGCACCGTCGAATGCCACTATCATGTAACACGGCGAGGCCCGGCACTTGCGAGTTTCCGCGATCGACGTAGAGCTGCGATAGCGACGGCACCGACGCCCCGAATCGTCGAGCACGTGACAACTGGTCAGGGTTGAATGGGCAAGGGGGCACGGCGGAGGCCATGACGGCCTGGCGAAAAACCGACGGAGGCAACGGAGGAGGAGGAGGGAGAGGAGATTGGCGACTCTCACTCAGCACCTGGGCGCCATCCCCTTCTGGCTTTGGTCGCCCCGACACTTGATCCTCGGCATCCATGTCAGGACGGGGAGAAGGAGGAGGAGGAGGAGGAGGAAGAAGAGGAGGAGGAGGAGGAGGAGGAGCAGGAGGAGGAGGAGGAGACGGAGGAGGGTGGAGTAGGAATCGACTGCCGCACGTACCAGCCTCATACGGACAAGGAAGGCCCGCCTCTCCACCGTGAGCAGCTCGAGAGTCCGCTCGTCGACATCGGGAGTCCAGCCCTCTCCGCCGCCCGTGACCCGCAGCAGCGTCAGCCATGGCACTGCCGGCCACAAGCCAGCCTGCCACGCGGGCCCCTGCTGCCTGCATCGCCGCCATGTGCGAATTGACAAGCAATCCTCCTCCTCCTCCTCCTCCTCCCTCCTCTCCTCCTCCTCCTCCTCCTCCTCCTCCTCCTCCTCCTCCCCCTCCTCCTCCTCCACCAGCCTTTTGTACGTCGGGTCCTTTCAGGGGAGAGGCCCGCCGCGCACACACGCACGCGTGCCGTGCGCCGACCGTCTTCCAGGGGATTTCGGTCAGGCGTGCCCGCGGCCTGAGGGGCGCCCAGCAGGGCGGGGAAAGTGCGTTTGCCAGTTTCCATGGGTGGGGGGCCCAAACATGCGAAATCACGCCAGAGCCGCAATTCACCAAGGCCAAAGAGTCCAACGACCAGGCCAATCAGCAGGTGTTGCTGGCAGCCGGTCCAGAGCTGGAGGAGATGTGGAAGCCACCGCCCATCAAGTCGGCCGAAGAGCAGCTCGTCAACGCAGTGCAGAGGCTCCGACAGCTCCAGCCGCAGCAGGGCCGAATCAAAGCGCAGCTGTTGGCAGCAGCTCAGTCTCAGGAAGATCTGATTGCCCGACTTAGCGCCAACGTGGAAGAGTGCTAGGCACCCAGGCTGAGGTCGACCAGCTGGTGGGCAAAACCACCGTTGGGGCAGCTACAGCAGCCGAGCAGGAGCAGCAAAAGGGCTCCACCTTCAACAACGAGTTCCCAGAGCTGGGTAAGGAGGATCTGGAGTCGCTGGGACCCGTTGGCAAGCGTGAGTATGAAGAAGCCAGGAAGGCCGCCGCAGTCGCAGCAGCCACGCGCAGACAAGCGGCAGCTGTTGGACAGAATGCTAAAGATGCCGCCGAACGTCTCCGCAAGCTCCACACTGCCGTCTATAACAAGAGGAATAAAACAAAAACACACCGGTGGGACAGCCCAGCCAGTAGGAGACCAACCAGCGACGGCTCCAGCGGCGGAGCCCTCTCAGCCAGCGCAGGCAAGACAGACTTCACGGACCCCGAGGCTGTCGACAAGTACATCGAGGCCACAGCCCAGTTCAAGGTCAAAGCCAAGGCGCGGGCGTCGACGGCAACGACCGCCGGGGGAGGAGGTGCCGCTGCCGATCGGCCCAGTGGGCAACCACGGCACAGGCGCCTCCAAACCCAAAAGTGCGGTCGCGTCTGTGGACCACACGCTTCGCGTGCTGTTTGCGAACGTCACGCACTTCGGGGAGAAACTGAGACACTACGTGCAGCACCTCAGTTTGGGCGTCGTCGGCATCGCTGAGCACCGCTTGCTAGAGGGAGCCGCCAAGAACGAGGCCATGAAGTTGCAGCGCCAGGGGTGGCATTCGCAACACACGTGAACTCCAGGTACTCACGGGGCACCAGCTGGCTTGCGCGGGCAGGTCTACTGATAGCAGCGCGCCACCCTGGCGCCACGGGGAGGAGCGTGTCCCAGAAGAGTGCGAAGGACATCTCAGTCATGAAGCGGAGGCTCCAGGGGGTGACAGTGGCGCTCATCTGCGTCTACCTCGACTCGGGTAAGGGGTTCGAGAATGAGAACGCCAGCAAGATGCCCCAGCTGACGCGTGCGATTAGTCTTTGGCAGCGCCCTGGGTACCACTCGGCGACTGGAACAACACGCCCGAACAACTTGCCAAAACGAAGTGGCTGAAGGCGATGGGCGGCGAGCTGCGCGCCCCCGCGGGCTGCGTCTTCGCGCGCGCCCCAGGGAAGGGCAGCCTCATTGATTGCAGTGTGTGCTTGAAGCAGTTCCAGCCGCTAGTAAGACATTTCAAAGTAGTCTGGGGCGCCCCGTGGAGCCCGCACCTTGGGCTCGATTTGGCGCTCGCAGCCGGGCCTGCAGCAGTCGGCAGATGGGCAGCCGGCCGCGGCTGCCCATGAAGATCGAGGTCCCCGCGCGCAAGATCCGCATGCAGAAAGGACCCCAAATGGCGCAGCGAGACAGGGGGCGACGCGCCGACCTCCACCAATATGCAGGCGCGATCCCGAGAGCGCCGAAGTACTGGGCCAACACTTCGGACAAGGGACCAGGGCGGTGGAGCTATCCTTGGGCATGCTCCAGGGCACCGACCAGCCAGCTGCGCAACAACGAGGAGAAGTGCAGTGCTTCGAGAAAAAGAACGCAGTACATCAAATAGGGTCCGGGCCGTTCGAGAACGCAGCCAAGCGCGAGGAGGCCAATTGCCAGGAGGCCATGGCAGCGCGGCTACGTGACTTGGCAGTGCTCCAGCGGTGCAACTCCGACACCGACACCACGCATGCGGTCATCAGCGCGACCAGCAGGCTACGCAAGCAGCTCGTTAATTCGAGGACGAAGCTCGACAGAAGATACGAGCCGAGAGACTTCCACAAGGATGGTCGATCTCCACGGCTCAGTGGGACACACCTGGGCTTCCCACCAGAACAACAACAACAGCAACAACAACAACAACAACAGCTGACCTCGACGGCCACCAGCAGCCCCACGACGGCGCCATCTACCGCAATATATGACGGCATGCTACGCCTGGTCATTCGGACGCCCAGCTACCAGTGCTACATGTGGTTTGGCACCCCCGTCCACGAGATCGTCAGCGCGTTGGGGGGTAACGTCGCCAGCGTTGCCGAACCGGCATGCCCGGCTGCGAGAGGACCGCCGCGGGGCTGCACCTGCGAAGGGGGGCCTAGACACGGTCGGCTTCATCGACCAGGAGGGCCATGGGAACAATGTAGAGCCTGGCGTCAGTTCGTAATGTCCTGGCGCACCACAAATCCTGGCGCGCCGTCGCGGCTACCAGGCTCAAAGTCACCGCGTGGGCCAGAGCGCGCTGCAGCAGACCGAGCACTTCGGCAGGTTGTGGACGACGTGGCCGTCGCGATGCCCGCGGGCTCGCTGACCACCGCGGGCGCCGCGAGCCCCCGCCAGGGGGCTGTTGTTGGCGCTGCCGCTGGCGCGAGGCGCGGAGGGCGCGCCGCTGCTGGATGGGGCAGCGCGGGCGGGTCGGACGGCCGCGGGGCGGCGCGATGGCCGGGGGGGGGGGGGGGCAGGGGTCAGCTCTGGGAGCGCCCCAAGGCCCCATCCCCCAGGAAGGCGAAGCCGCGCGACCGCTTCATGGGCGTGGAAGAGGTGAAGGACGCGTTCCATGCCCAAGGGGACACCATTGCCCGCGCATGCCCGCGAGCAGAACGACGCGCGCAAATCGCATGGCAGGACACGAGACGGCAGATACGGCACTGGGCCGCACGAGCTACGACAGGAGGCATGCAGGGAGCGCACAGGTACCTGGCCAAAGAAGAGGCCATTCAATTCACCGACGGATGCTTGGATCCGAGTACTATGGAGCGGGGGATGGACCCCACCGAGGGCATCGAGCTCCGACGGAAGGCATGGGAAGCACGATGTGCCAAGCACAACGGCCGCGTCGACGAGGCCAGCTACCAGGTCGACCTGCTCAAGAAGCGCGCGCAGGAAGAGCTCGAGGACCGACCTTACCACGACATCGAGAACCCCCAGTCGGCGTTAGACAGCTTCCCAGCCAAGTCAGGAAAGGGGCCAGACCAATCGGCACCAGACCAAGTACGTGCACCCAGTCCAAGCTGCAAGGAAGGGTTTCTCACGATTCTCGACATGTGCGAGGGGCAACTACAGTGGCCCCCTCAACTCACGCAGAATTGGCGCGCTACCCCACCCAAGGGCGGGAAGCATATCGCAGGGGAATATCGACCAATTGACTTTCTACCGATGCCAGTGAGAGCGTGGGGGAAGATGACGAAACAGAAGCTCACCAAGCGGCTATGGCTGCACTAATTGGACGAGATCCGAGCACGCCTCCAGGAGGCCAGCTTGGCCAGCTTCTTCCAGGTCGTGGAGAAATTCTATGACCTCGTGGACCTGGGCATCCTGAGCAGGAGGGTCTCGGGGCTGGACTACCCCGTAGTCGAGCTCTACATGCGCATTGCATCATACGTGAGCCCACGTCTTGTCAAAATGAATGGGAATTTCAGCACTGCCATCACTCCGACCAACGGCGTGGCCCCAGGCTGTGGCAAGGCCAACCACGGAACGCGAGCCCGATTCTATCATTTTCTTGAGGAAGTATATAGAGTGGCACCTATGGCCAGGATCCGACAGTTTGTGGACGATATCACAATTCGAGTGGAAGGATCTCCAGACGTTGTGGGCTCAGCGATCAGCAGCAGCGGGCGCCCTGGTGCAAGGGGGCCTGGAGGCGGCTGAAGATCTCCAACGAGTCCACCATCGCGGCGGTAGATGCAGGATGCCGCCATGGCATCCGCTGCGCTGGAAAAGAGTGGCATCATCACCAGTCGGACCGATGTGATGAAGGACCTGGGGACCGACAACACCATGGGCCATAGGCGGGCCAGAACCACGGGGCAAAAACGTGAGCGCCTGGGGCGAGTTAGGGCCAACAAGGCCATAGTTTTTTGGCAATATGGGGCGAAACCGTCGCGCATTTTCTTGTGGCGCGCCGGCGTCCGAGCCTAGATGTCCTACGACAGCCCCATTTTGGCGCGCCCCCGTCAGAAGACCGTCGACGTCGAGGGCCGGCGGCGGACATGGCGGGGTTTTGTTAAAAAGGCGATAAACAGTTTCCGCGATGTTGCTTTTGTTTGAAGGGGGGGGCCCTTGGGCCGAAAGCGTCAAAAGGCAGGCCCGCGAGTGGATCCAGTTTTGGACGCGAAGCCCTGACTTGAGGAACGCTGCCCGCGGAGGATGGACGGCCGCGAAGTTTGAAGCCGCTAGGTTGAAGCGCAGTGCCCGCTGGGGAGCTGTGACGGGGCCCGTGGGAGCCCTTGTCGCTGCGCTGCGAGAGCTCGGATGGGTTGGCATCGAACCTGCTCTGCGGGAAGCCCCTGGCGGGGGCGAGTGGAGGTTCGATCCCGACTCGGGCGGGGGCCTGACCGAGCTGTGCGAAGCATTCGAGACAATCACCAGGTTGCTTTGGACCCGCGCGGGACAGCACGCTGAAGGGGCTCCGCTGGCTTGGGGGGACATCTCACGATGCCCCGCATTAATGCCGCCCGCGTGCGCAAAACAATTCACGTTTCAGGAGGCAGGGGCCCGCGAGAGCCTTGCCTGTTGCACCGATTGGACTGGGGCCCGTCTTCGTCGGGCAAGGGTGCCAGACCGACGGACTGCGCGCAGAGCGCGGTCTAGGTGTGGACGACAATATCAGGCGCCGATTGCACGAATGCCCTGCCACCTCGCAATGCGAACCCCCATGGGCCATCAAGACCCAAGGACTGTGCGAAAGATCTGCGAGGGAACTCGACAAAGGTGTGAACGCTGCCCTGTGGTTGCGGGGCACTGTCTCTGCCGGCTGGAATTCGGTCCCGCCGCCGCCAGACTGGGGAGACCACTGTGCCTGGAACGTGCGAGCCGTCGACGCCCCGCGCCCCGCCCTTGGCCCCAGCGGAGCCTTTTCCTGGCCGGATCGGGGTCGTCCTCGGGCTGGCGCGAGTGCCGTGCGGGGCGTGGAGTTTACATCCAGCAGGGGTCAGGGATCCCTAACTCCCCCCCCCCCCTGGGCCTGACCCCCTCGCACGCTTTCCCGACCCCAGGGTGGTGCGGAGGAGTCGACGGTAAGCAATCGGTCCGCTCAGCGGAAATGGCGGCGCTGTGGTGGAGTCTTCTGCTCACGCGATATGACACGGCGGTTTACAGTGACGCTCAGGTTGTCCGTGATGGCTGGCAACAAGGTAGATTGCAGAAGCCGAGCGGAAGTTTACGCCGCTGGTGGGGCGCGTGGTGGAAACCTGGCGGAACTGCGAGGGATCTGTGGTGCTTCGCAAGTGCTACAGCCACTTAGATGCTGCCTCCCACCGTCGTGTGGGCCAATGCCCAACGATTTCGAGAGGCAACTAAGTGGCTGACAGTTTTGCACAGCTTGGGGCGGAGGAAGCCTCAAGGGCGATCCGCTGGGAGGTCCTCGCCCTGCGCGCAGGCGACGCCATGGCCGCCCGAGTGCACCAGCGGACGGCGGCACTGACAGCCTGGTGGGCGGCGAAGGCCGCTAGCAGGCAGGACCGCCCCGCCAGAGTAGCGCCCGACGGGGG